TGCTGAGGCTGAAAAGTATATAGTTTAGTGATTTTAGGTGTTTTCTTTCAAAGGGGGTTCAATAAAATTAAATCACTTGGCGCCCGCTTATCAAGTTTGAAGAATATAGTTAAGTAGGTAAACAACCAGAATATTGTTTGATACCCATCCCCGACTCCACTGAGATTATTTAGTCGGTGCATCCCCTTATTCAGGGCAAAGTATAATAGTGATTACGTAACATGGTAATTTGAGGAATTTCGTTAACTGATTAAACCATATACAAGGCATCTAACTGTCTTCACGGTATTCGCAACATGAAAAACCCATCTTCAGAAGCTATCAATATGGATACCCAAGTATTTCTCTTATGTTCCTAGTGGAACAGCTAGATTTCCCAATAAAATACAATCTTAATTCCATTGATAAGATTCGTAAGAGGTGGAAGGTATCATTTCAGTGCCTCCAACGTTCATAGTTGAGAATGTCCACATCAAACCATCCACAAATATCTTCAGGTAATTTTCATCAGTGTTGCGTACATCGTGCGAGGGGTCTTCTGTATATAATATGACCATATCATCAGCAAGAGAAAGAATGGAACGGGCGATTGTAGTGTAAGTAATTGATTGATACAAATTATAGAAAGAATCGGTCCAAGAACTGTCCCTTGCGGTACTCCATAGGTATTACATTTTTCAGTGCTCATTGTATTATTTAATCGAACCCGTTGTTTCCTATCCGTGAGAAAACTTTTGATCACTTCACCTGCCAAGTCACGGATGCCAAGGTGTTTCGGTCCATCCAGCAAAAGCTGACACACCGTCTCAAAAGCCTTCGCTAGATCAATAAACACACCCAAACATGGTTTCCTCGTATCTATTGCTTGGTATATTTGCGATGTCAAAGCTGCGATAGCGTCTTGTGTGGAAATGTTGTCGCGGAAACCAAATTGAGTTGACGCTCGCTATGATACTATGTTCATCAAGTATAGAAAGTGTTTTCGTTCTGTGGATGTTTCACATAATATTGGCGTAAGCGGTCTCTGTGTTTGATAAAAGTTATAATACATCCTGTCATCCATTCTTTTTTCTTGATTTTGAATTTTTCGAGAACTCAATTGATGCGTTGTCTACGTTGGAGGATATTTTTGGAATTAATATTCCAGTGGAAGTTTCAATATCTCTTGTAATGTATTAGTCAGACCAATTCTCTTCAGTGATATGATTCAAACAATTCCCTCTCGTTGAGATGTTTGACTTTTATATATTGAATGTTATTCGACTCAGTATTCAACCCAGTTCTTGCACACGCAGTAATGGAATGATGATCAGTTGAATTATTCTTCATAATAGTGGATTTTATATTAGGTGTATGAAGTTTAGATTTGATTTTCACGAAGATGTGGTCGATGCATGTAGCTGTATTATGAGTGAGTCTGGTTGGTTTGTTGATGAAAAAAACGAAACCATTTGCAGATAGAATATTCAGGTATTCCTCCGCCTGTTCATCTTTGTCATTCAATAAATCAATCTCGATATTGCCGGTTATGAGAAAAAAATTTCATATTGTTCAAGACGGCCAGCGTGGCCTCCTGGTTGAAGCGTCAGTGTTCTATTCACTTTGAATTGTCGGGTGGTGGGTTCGATTACCACCACGCTAGCAGAGATTTTTCTGATGGCCTGAGAATGTGTTTGGGATCACACGTTGAAAGGTGAGGCCCCCGTTATTCCTTGCTCGCACAAGTCTCTCGAAGGTTTCTGAGGGTTGTTCATTGGGGAGCAACTGAATAATGGATAAAACCAATTTTAGGACAATTTAAAACGAGATTCATTTTAGTCGAGCAATTTTCCAGTTCTTCATTGAATGTCCTAATGCAAGATGCAGTTGATATATAGATTGATGAAAGTGCAATTTTTTGTTTATCGATTGTCATTTCTGCGAATGAACAGTTCATTTATAGAATACTGGTCATTTTGCAGTAGGAAATGATATTTTCTTCGATATATTTCATCAAACCATCGTTTTTATTAATTGGGCAATCATCGAAAGTCATCTTATACTCAGGCAGCTGATAAATACTAATATAATTCATGTTCCAGGTTTCAGTAAAGACGATACAGTTGAAAGGTTTTGTGGCTAGATATCCATATATATGCCCAAAACTCATCAAAATGTTCACCTCTACTCCAAATGTTGTTATGGAAGAGTGGAAATCTATTGCGATTTTTTAAAAAGATTTTTGCATCGCTGCAATTATCAATTTCAAGGATATTGATGGGGTTGGTCTCAAAGTCCTCGATATCTTGATTCATTCATCTTGAAAGAACCTCATTCACAATGGAAAACAGTGGAGAGGATGAAATGGAAATTTGGCACAGTAGCTTGAATGGAACTGTGGATTAAATCAAATATGAAGGTTTCGATTATTCATTTCTCCTTTTCTTGGGCTCTGGTGCAGATTTTTTTTTCATGGTTCATATAGGTTTTGCTGGGGATTCTAGTAATTTATTTTTGTTTCTCGTTGATTCTATTCGATTTTTCCAGGGGTTGGTGAAAGGAGGCTGAAACATTGATGAGGTTTTTGGTGTTCCTGGAGTGTGTGTTGGGCTAGTGATAACTAATGTTGGGGTTGGCAGTGCTCTGTATGATATGGCTCTGGAGCTGTCTTTCATCTGCTGATCTGCCCTATTCTTGAGGTGATCATATGCAAATTCCTCACCATTTACAATGAAGATGTCGGTTTTTATGCGTGCGGAATATTGTTTCTTCTTCCATGTTTAAGAAAGCATTCTTTTTCTCGTAGTCTTCCTCCGTGTAGTCGAGGGCAATGTTGACACTTTTTTTTCTGGAAATTGCTGCTGCTTATTACAATAGGATATCAGCGATAGTGTTGCCAATTCTACATAAATCACGAGGATCGTTTCTGACACATGGAATTCCAAGTGTGTCATTGGCAAGGTCTAATATTTTTTCGATAGTAGCAGATCTGATGTAATCCCCATCGAGTCCGTATATCATCAGATTATGTTTTTCGATTCCTTCTCTAGATCTGTTATTTTTTTCTACAGGCGTTTGTTTTCGACCTTTCATTTCTCGTTGAACTGCTTCACTTTGCAAATTTTCGAACATACATCCTCTTTTATATTTGAAAACTCTTTTTACAGGTCTTCATTACCTCTTTTATTATTGTGCATAGATCCTCGAGAGTTAAACTTATATCTTGGAACTGAAAACTGAATACGAGTATCCTGCATAAAATTGCTACAACTGTCACACCGTCCACGGTGAGATTCAAAATCAAAGCAATTCATGGATTGATTGAGTGGGAACACTGTATCAATTCGTTAGTGAGGCTGTTCCTTCTCAAGTTATCCCAAATTGATTGAGAAACTGGCATGAGAACCGTCTCTTGCATGATCGGTTTTTTTATGAATCGGGATATTGATGTTATGACTCAGCGAATCCCATATTCTGTACGATTTGATGTTTCACGATATATATATAAAGTTGATTTGTTCAATATCCACTTTTTCCATAAAATGAGTTATCGACGAAAACATATTCCTAGTATTGAATTGTTCAATATCCCCATGAATTTATATGGATATATTCGCAATTTCAGTCATATTTCAGTTAAATTGTATCCAATATCCCATAATTTCAGATTTTTTGAGGGTATGTTTGTTCATTATCCGGATATTGAACAGTGCAACATGATAATTATGTTCGGTGTCCAACATCCATCAAATGCGTTAAAACCGATTTGTTCAATATCCACTTCGGCCAATAGTGAAACAGCACGTGCTCTTGTTATGACAGAGATAGGTAAAACATATTTGTTCAATATCCACTTTGGCCAATAGTGGAACAGGCTCCTATCACGTGCTCTTGTTATGATGACCTAATGAAATAACCTATAAACTTGAGTGTCGTTGCTTGTTTCATCGCTGATTAATGGACTGAATTTCATTATAGAAAAATGAATTATGTATACAGAAGGTGAGTTCTTTTTTATTCGAATAGTTCTGGCTAAACATTATTAAGTATAAACATTCACATCATTCTAGTGAGAGAGCGGAATGGTTACTATCATTGCGAAATCCATCATCACAACCGAATCGAGAAAATATACCGAATATTCGAATAGATGAAGTGAAGAAGAACTTGTTTTCGAATGATTCCAATTCCGAAGCAGGTATATACACTGTGGAAACGGAAAACTCTGGTAATATAACCGATGATGCTACCAAGAAAACTCTTGAGGGTAAGTTGTGTACTGAGTATACAATTTTGAAAATATCTGAGAAATAATATTTGTAGCAGTAAATTCTGAGGAGAATTCAGAGATACGTGTCTTTGATACATATCCTGAAGATATGACAACGGAAGGCACAATTGTAGTACAGGAACTCCTAGTGATCAACAATGAACTCATTCCTGTGCAAGAAAACCTCGAAGAAAACCAATCACTATTGGATGATTTAGAGTCAAGTGTATCAGAAAGCAGAAATGTTTTAGTAAACATCACTAATTCAGACCAGAAGGAAGTCATATCAGAAAAAAGGGTCCGCAAACGAAAGGCAACCCCTGAGACATGAAAAAAAAATATAAGAAAGAAAAAAAGAGAGACAGGGGAAGAATACGTTAATATTAAGGGTAAAACTTTCCAGAAACGTGCTGTTAGGGGTGGTTGTACACCAAAATGTTCTTTCAAGTGTGAAGATAAGTTCACACTTGAAGATAGACTTATGATTCATCAGCAATTTTGGCGACTCTCTGATAACAAAAAACCTCATTTCTTCAGCAAATTTGTAATACAACATAATCCAATAAGGAAACGAACAACTAAGGAATTGAGTAGAAAAAGTAATGTTTATGTTTATCACTTTGAAACCATTAAGTCGAAATGCCGGGTGTGTAAAAGTTTTTTCCTGAATACCCTGGACATCAGTCAACAGAGAGTATATTATTTCTTTAAGAAAATTCAGAATGAGGAAACTGGTGTACCTCGCTCTCCAATGAGAGGAAGAAATGTGAAGAAGGTCACACCTCCTGATAAAATTCAGGAAATTCATGATCATATAAATTCTTTCTCCACTATCGATTCTCACTATTGCCGCTCTAGTACTAATAGGCAGTATTTGGAGTCAACATTGAATTTGTCCCGCATGTATGATTTATACAAAGAAAAATATGATAATCCACTCCCTATACATACATACAGACACATTTTTAACTCAGAGTTCAATATATCATTCTACAAACCTAAGAAGGACAGATGTGATAAATGTGAAGAATTCAAAGCAAAGAAGGATGTTGCAACTGATGAAGAGAAATTCGAACAGGAGGAACATTTGAGACGTAAAGAAGCAGGGTATATTGAAAGGAATAAGGACCGTGAGTTGAAAAAAATTGTTGAAGATGGTGAACAAACAGCTGTTATAACTTTCGATCTCCAAAATGTATACACACTTCCGAAAATTGGGGTGAAGAACTTTTACTATAAATGTAAATTGAACGTGTACAATCTAACAGCTCATTGCAATATCAATAACCGAGTTTACAATTGCATTTGGCATGAATGTAATGGCGGTCGAACCGGTAATGACTTGGCCAGTGCACTGGTCAAGATACTCGGAGGAATTGCTGATGATAACCCGTTTTTAACAAAGATAATTCTGTGGTCGGACAGTTGTGTTCCCCAGAATAAGAATTCATACATGACTATGGCTTTGAAATACTACTTAGATTCCCCGATGTGCAATTCCATCAGGATAATTGAACACAAATACGGTGAACCAGGTCACGGAAACGTGCAAAAAATAGATGTGGCGCACAGCATTATAGAAAAATTCCTCAGGAACGTAGAGATTGCCAGCCCTGTTGGTCTCATAAGATTGCTGTTAAAGCTTCCACAAAAAAAATATAAATTCAAAATTATTCAAATGCAACCTAATGATTTTCATGATTTTGGTCACACTGCATCAAATTTCGTTTTCACTCAAGTTCCATTTACTAAAATTAAACACATCATCTACAGGAAAAATGAAATCATGAATATCATTAACAGACAATCTTTTGAAGAAGACTTCATGACTGTACCAATCCATAGACGCATTGTTGGAAAAAATAGGAAGAAACAATCAGAAGTACCTTTGGTATTGCCAAAATTACCTCCGATAAAAAGAGACATAGCACTACCAGAACTCAAAATCAAACACCTAAATGAAATGCTCAAATACTTACCGGATCAGACTGATAGAACATTTTATCAATCTATATTGAAAAATGTATCTTCTAAAAAGAAGAACAAATAACAGAACTCAAATAAAAATTCATATTCATTTTGGTTTTTCATTATCCGAGATCATGTTGATGCAAAAAAATTGCTCTTTTCTGTGGAATTTTCAAATTGGGTCGATCATGATGTTTCAGTATTCAGTATAGTTAAAGGAATAAAAATAATCATGATTTCGAAATTGTTGTGTTCAACATCCTCTTCTTTGTTCAATATCCGATATTAATGAAAATATATTGAAATAATTGTTCAACATCCATTTTATTTTAGGTTATATAAACCTAACTAGTCATGCTAATCCTCATTTTTCCAATTATTCATTTCATTTCAAGCATTGGTCGATTATCCTAGTTATAGTAAAGTGCATATCGGGTTTTTGGACTTCACAACGAACATTAAAACCTTTGCAAGCTCCTCCTGAAAAATTACAGTTATGGTCTATTGAACAAACCAACTTTCATGTGACGATATTGTGACTTATACTTCTGAAGGGAATATATTTAGCACATATGCGAAGAGCAGCTCCATCATTTGGATAGTTGAGCAAACAAAACATTCTAGACATGAGATAAATGATGTTACTAGTTATAATAAGAGCAGTGTGCTGAGATGAACGAATTAATGAAATAAAACTTCGAAACAAACTGGTTTATTTCCTCATGGTGGCGCAGGATATAAATATACGAGATATGTATGTCAATTATCCAACAGATTCAGACCAATGCAGATGAATGTCGAATAGTAATATTGAAATGAAAGAATATACTTTAATACATCATGAACTCAAGCAAAGTCATCTATTTCAAAGGAAAGTCCACCGCCGCATTGTATATTAGAAGTTGTAGTTATAAGTCCTAGTGAGGATCATGAAATACACACAAATCAAGTGGATGGAATATTGAAAATTCAAATATATGAAATGGAAGACACTCTGGCCTGCTTATATAATCCTCATGCTGTGACTATGGGGAAATTGAGGGGGTAGCCCCTATTACTCAGGCCTTCTCAAGCTGATAGTGGGTAGTTTGAAGATTTATAGTGAGGAATCTCTATCGTACCCTGAAATCCTCAAAAAAATATCCTGAGTGAATTCTCAATCTATTGTCCTCGCGAAATCACTGTTGGTGGTGAAAAAAAACTCACAGATTTCACAGAAATTGAAGTTTCGACTAAAAGATGAAATTTTACAGAATTCGATCAATAGGAATAATAGGTGAACTGATAGAATCGAAACATGGAATACTCGAATGTTCGTTTTTAACAGCTAATCATTTTATTCTAGAAAGAGATATCATCCACGAAGGCAATCTAGGGCTTCGCTACAACAAAACATGAATCTGGTGACAGTAGAGATTTCAGTAGGTGTCATAACTCTGATAATCATCATTCATTCTTACTAGATAACTAGAAATGTGATCGATAGTATGCAGAATGTAATGTAGCGAAAAATATATGAACATGTACTCAGAGTGTCGTTCAAAAAGTAGGTAGGATGACTGTATACAGGGTGGACCATAATGATATAGTGAATGGTATACCAATAAAATTATGAGTGATTAAATATCTCTCATAACATTTAGACAGCTTTCTGTTACCTGGAATGAGTTCATTCTAATGGGGAAATACTGACTTGTGAGTGCAAAATAACTCAATGCGATACATTAGAATCAACAATGTTTCATGCTGACTCTGTCTATGGTCTTGCTCTATCTGAAACTGAAAGTAAGAGACGCCTTCAGTTGATTCGGAACGCTTGGGTTCACCAAATTTGCGGTCTTCAGAGACGTGATTACATCCCACGATCTTTCAAACAAATAGGCTGACTAAATCTGAAAGTACGCCTTCTACATAGGAGTTTTTCTTTATAGTAGAGTCGCCGTATCGAATAAGCATTCTCAAATTCACAAGAAAGTAATTTTCAGACGTCGAGTCCATAATGTGAATGTGTTAGGTACTCAGGAACCACTATGTCTTTCATAGAACTATCATAGGATATTCTCCTAGATCGCTTCATGCAATCTTCGGCTATAACCATGCTATTCACTATCAGCACTCAAATAACTTCCTACAGATATCATCAATGGACAATTCGATTCGAATAGTCCTTTTGACATCGATATCAGTGAACAATATATTACAATTATATAGAGGAACATGAAGATCGTACCATGGGAAAGTTTGAACAAGCAAACTGAAAGGGCCATTATCTAATCAGAAAACTATCGCATTACGAGATACTTCTTGCACTGAGAGCGAACAATGCTCAAGAAATAAGGATGGCCAGTCTTGACTCTGATTCCGGGATGCGTTTATATGAACTAGGTGATGTCGAACAGAAAGTCACCCATCACAGGTTCATCCACTACTTCGACCTTTTTTTTATCGAAAGCAAATCATTGAAATCAACCAATCGATATGAAACTACAAAAAAAATCATTCGAAGTTGACACCTACTGTACCTCAGGGAATTGATAAATATAGATAATGACATCATTTTCAATACCAATCTTGCTAAAGGAGAATATCATTCCATACATCCTAGTGAACCTGTTGAAAGGGGACTCATTGACAACTAAGGTACTATCTTCAGAAGTATTCCGAATAATTCAGACGCCGATGATGGCAAAAGATACGACAACGCTATCGAACAATAGCTACCTCCTTGCGGAGATTTCCTCAGATCGATGGGCAGCAATATTGAAGATACTTTAACAATGGTTCAAAAAATTTCATCACATTTGCAAGATTGAAGATTGTTCATGCTAGCAACTTGAGAATCAGAGATTTGGAATTCACTATATATAAACACTCTTACACTATCATCAACCGAAACAACTCCCATTCGAAAACAATAATATTACGTTGCGCAAATATTGAGAAATCTGAGAAATCGAATCTCATTAACCAAACGACATAATAGTCTCCATTTTTCACTTCTCTAGAATGTTTCACGGAATCTATTCAACCTTCCATCTATATCGAATTTTTACCAAAACCATCACTATGCGGATCACAGTCAAAACTTTCATGACAATGCACAAAAGCTTTCATCAGACACCGAATGCAGGAATACACATTCAATGTCTCACTAGCATACTGAAAAACTTCAACCGTACTTCAATCAAAAGAATTGTATATACCAACTTGTACAATTGAGAACGAAAGAACCGACTTCCTGCGAGCCAATCGCAGTCTTGCTTGAAGGCAGAAGCATCGAACAAATCAACACCGCCCACTATATAGCCATATTACAGGACGATACAAAATCAGAACCGAATGTCATGAAAACGATTTGACGATTCTCAAAGGACCCTACTTCATTATGGTTTCATCTGGAAGCAGTTTCCACATGTCACGAGACACCCATTCGAACAACGAGGACACTATCAACGTACAATCCTCACTAGGGCTGCGCGATATTGGATTTCAGTTATCGGTTATCGATAAGTTGAAATTTATCGATAAGTTCGATATATAGATATATCGATATTTATCGATATATCGATATTTATCGATATTTATCGATATTTATCGATATATCGATACTTATCGATATTTATCGATATATCGATATTTGTCGATATTTATCGATATATCGATATATCGATAAATATCGATAAATATCGATAAATATCGATAAATATCGATAAATCGATTAATCGATATATCGGACTTATCGATATTTATCGATATATCGATATATGTAGTTCAAAAAATATCTTGCAATCATATAGACTTATTGACATATACCTACTCATAAGAAACGTAATGCGAATAGTATGCGGTTTGTTTTTGCTGAATCTCAATAATTTTAAGTTCGGCCACTTCGAAATATTTAGAAGAAAACATAATGAATTGATTGATACATCAAATCAATTCAAAATTTTGAGATAGAGGATAAGGATCAAAAACACTTTTCATTATACGAGCCCTGTCTCAGTGAAGTTGGCCCAAACTAGAGTTCCTGAATGTATCTGACTCAGATACATTGAGGAACTCCAGCCCAAACTAACAAAACTATGTTTTTTGAAGAAACATATACTGATTGATGAATTAAGTTGCTACTCCTCCCAAAGCCATGTAAATCCCTTTCCGAGAATACATTCTATATCGTATTACAGTGAATTCCTTATAGTTAGAAATGTTAAAATATCGCCTGTAACATTTTCAAATTTGCAGATATACGAGGGGAAGCTATAATATATATTAAATTGAAGATAATCGAAATTTCACATCTTGCATAATATAATAAAAAGCATTTCGATATATTGACTTATTGGAGATTCGGAACTATTATTTGTCAGAAAATTACAAAAATCTGTGGGACATAAGAGTTAACACTTTTTGAAGACTTGGTGCGTAAAATAACTAGAAATCTTGCTATGGATCTTGATAAGGAAAAATGCAAATTCTACACTAAGTAATGAATGGAAAGAAGGAAAGCTCGAAGTCATCTTCACAAATATAATGACGTTATACAATCAGGGTCATGTTTCGGTCTTAGAAAAGATCATCTTCAGCCTATGATAGAAGTTCTACAATACAAAGAAATAATTGGTATAAAGAGAGTAACGAGTTTCGACCTATTTTTAGCCATCATCAATGTGTTTTCGAAATTCTAAAGGAATTTAGTGTCAAACATTGAGGGACTATATAGTTATTCAATACCGAAGAGTGGAAAAAAAATATTTCACCATATTATTCAATGCAGCGCTTCAAATCAATAATGAATTCTTACACGAATTACTTTAATAACTTAATTTTGGCAAAACCAATAGAAACATTCATAACAATTGTTCAAAATGATGATCATTATTCTCTAAACAAAGATATCCTTTTCTCACAGTTGCTTCTGAGACATTACTGAGCAACCTTATCTTGGACACACTGTATATCGATATATCGATATATATATCGATAAATATCGATATTTATCGATATATCGATATTTATCGATATTTATCGATATTTATCGATGTATCGATATTTATCGATATTCATCGATATATCGATATATCG